GAGAGAGAGAGAGAGAGAGAAGAGATAAATCCGGAGGACGAAGTTGGAGTATCAGAGAGAAAGAGAGCGAGAGAGACGAAGAGAAGAAAGAACAGGTCGCGATAGAGGAAGGAAGAGGCCGCATGGGGAAAAGGGATATGAGAAAGGCGGCAGCACCGGCTCGTGCGTGGCTAACTAACCCGTGCTGACCCCCTATCGATATTTCCACCTGGAGTTCGACCCCTGAGAATTCCATTTTTTCGCGCGCACATACGTTGCGAGCGATCGAGCGAGCGAGTCTACGAACTCTTCCGAGGAGCAGCGCTGAAATTCTTTCTTCCGAGACTCTGACTCTCTGCCTCGACCGCGGCCCGATATCCGCGCGCGAGCGAGCGGGCGAGCGAGCGAGCGAGGCGCATAAAACCCCGCGGGGTTAATGCACCGCTATAAATATAACGCCGTTGAGCCGTGCTTTGCGCGAAATTAATTACATAACGTATTTACGCCGATGCGGTGCCGTTAGGCGTGATCGAGGACCCCGTGCGGCGAAAATGAGACGAGTCCGCGCCGCACGGAGATAATGAATTATCAGTCGCTCGGCTGGTCGCGCGATCGCGCCGCACCGCGGCAAATTGCACGCGTTACCTTATTCTCGCCGGTTTTACGACGCACTCTTTAGGCGGTATCTAAACACCGGTCTTTGAGTACTTCCAGGTCGTAAACCTTCGCGTTTGCAGTCGCGAATGCGATAATAAATTTATCAGAAAATTGTATTTGGACGCACAACAATCCGAGGATCAAGACGGAAAGTAGCGCAATTTTTTTTTTATTTTGGGTCATTTTTATCGCAATTCTTTTTTGACGCGGTCAAAATAATGTACTTTAACAGATCGTAACTCCCATTCGTATAGTCTTGGCTTATTTAACATTTCGCGTTGAAACGATGAAAATTTATACAAATAATTTTTCTGAAAAGAAATTAACAAAATTGACTTGAACAACGTCATTGTTGAGATTTTCTTAAACAGTTGCAGTTTGCAATACGATTGTATTCTATGAGCCTAAATTTTTGTTTGACTTTTTCTGGTCTCTTCTCCGACACTCAATTCTAATTAAGACTGACAATTTAGGATAAATATACGGATAAAATGTGGGACAAACGTAATATCGGTCTAGAAGCGAGGGCGAAGCTTATTTCGGCAACGAAATCGATTCATTAGCAAACTCGTCATTATTATGTCGAGTGTACTTTCTAACAAATTCCTTCTTAATTGAACACACTAGAACTCATCATAAATTTCTTTCCAAAAGTTTCTCCTTCGACCTTCGACCTACCATAGCCCATAAATTGGCATATCCAAGAGCGAGCGGCGAATTAGTCCCTTTAATCAAATGGTAAATTATAATAGAAGACACGTATCGTATACGCAAGCTAGGCGTCGAATAGAAATGAGGACATTTCAGTCGCATTTTATTACAGGGCCGAGCTGTTAACTCCGAGCAGTCTAACGAACTTGAACCGACGACTTGGACTGCGCGACACGTGGTGATCGATAGCCGTGCTAATAGATCGGTGTGATCGATAGATCAGCCACTTGCGTTTAGGGAGAGAAAGGATTCATTTGCCACGGCTGTCGACTCATTATACGAAGAACAGACGCTTCGTGTTCTACGCTCGCGTGTCATACTATTTTTCATTTTGCCGGCCTAACTCCTCGAAAACTACTTTCGAATCTACGACGATACCGGAGGACCGATGCTCGGGTGAAAAAACATTTGCGAGGCATCGATCATATAGTCTACTTAGCGAGATATTCAATAAGATGTTTTACACCTCGCATAGAGCTTTCCTTATTTGCATCTTCTTTCGTTGCACGGTTATAACGCGAAATTCACCGTTGACAAGTTTATTAGAGAGAGTTCCGTGTACAACAGGATTGTGCGTTTTAGATTACGCCGCTGGGACGCACTCGCGCGCACGCACTCGCTGAGAAGAAGATTCGCGCGAATTCTCTCTCCCGTTAAAGGTCGCGCATCCTCCGTTCGGACACGTTATAA